GCTCCAGAGATGCTCTGGCTGTGGCAGGACAGGACCACTAGCTAAGGGATCAGAATTGCCAAGAACAGACGGATGTGGGAGGGGCAGGGGTGGAGGTCTGCAGTTCTTCCCAGGGCTCTCTGCCAACTGCCCTGCTGGGGCGGTGCTGCAGGGGAGAGAAGGCAGACAGATGGCGTGGGCCCTGATGGGACGGGAAGTGCCTTATTGGTTTCTCATTTTGTGCCCACGTCACTGTCCTGCTTGCACCTCCAGCTCTCCAGGCTCTCTCTGGAGGCTGGCCTCTGGGTCACATGGAGCTGGGAAGTCATCTGAGGTGGGACAAACTCCTAACTGGCATCATCGGGCCTACAGCTGCTTCCCTTCACCTGAGGCCTCGGAGCTTTGATCTGTAAAGTAGACAAACACTGTGGGGTGGTGTGAGGTCTGTCCTAGAAAGCAGGGAACGGGGGCAGGTCAATAACGAGGGCATCAGGGCATCATACTGGCATGCCGGCAATGTCCTCGGGCCATTCTCTTTAAAAAGTGCTTTCCCTGGCCACGAGCTGTGCCTGGTGTGTGGGTGAGAATCGGCGGCAGAGACCTTCTGAGGATGTTCCAGGTGGAACCTGACACCTGCCTGTCAATTGTGCAGTCGGGCATTAGAGCAGGTCTGGGCAGCCCAGGACTGGCATGACATCGTTCCCACATTACAGGCCCTGCTGTTCTGCTTCTGACAAATAAGTGCAGACCAGCCTGTCTCAGAGGGAGGCAAGGCTCCCCCCTGCCATCCTTCCCAAGGGGGCACCTGCTGTGCAAGGGTCCATCCGCCAGCCTCCAGGGTTCTCACTCTTCCTCTGGCTCTGCAGTTCTGGTGAATGCAGGGCTTGCCGCCCCCCCCCCCCCCCCCCCCGGCTCTCTGCATCCCTGGCCCAGGGCACCTCTGTCCCAGACTTCGCTGCTGTAGCCCCCATCTCTCACCTGGTCCCCACCCATACTGGCTGGGTTATGTACACTCTGTGTGCAGACGTGCAGGGAGGGGTGCATATACACATGGGCTACAGGTCATATATACACTGTGCATATATATATATATATACAGCAGATATATATATATATCTTTACATTCATATATATATTGTACAGAACATTCACCTTCTACCAAAAACAGTTTTGTGACTTCACATATGGCCTCAGCTCTGAAACTTTGACTCCAGGGAAAAAGCAGGACTGGAGTGAAGGCTTGATTCAAAATGGCATGGGGGCAGAGGACAGGACTCTCCCACCATGCCTAGCGGCTGGGCCTATTCCAGATGTGTCCACCCTCCTTGGAAAACTGTTTCCAGATGTGCCTATTCCGGAGACCTGTCTACAAGACTGGGCTCATTTTCTGCATCTGTCTAGGGGGCTGGGCCAATCCCAGATGGTAAGTCCATACAGCTGTTTGACCAGAGCGAGGCCCTTCCCAGATGGTGCTCCACGCGGGACCATTCCAGATGTGGGCCAGAGTCTGGCCTGTTTCCAGATGTTTGTGCGCATAGCTGGGGCGGCTCTGGGAGGGATCTGCTTCATACTGAGTGATGAGAAGCAGGTGCAGACCCACACATAGCACCCTCTTCTGACTGTCCTGGTCTGACTTCCGCCCTCGGAGAACTTAAGAGAGGGGGAGTGACTTCTAGCCATTTGGAGTCTTCACCTAATAGTGCTAGAGACCTCTTCTTGTGCCCAGGAGGGAGCCAGCATGGGCCAGGTGGAGTCTAGGCTGTGATAGGGGGAGGGAGGTGTCTGAGCTGTGTCCCAGCAGAGACCAGTGACAGGTCAGGGGGAGAGAGATAAGGAGGGCTTATTGTGTGTGTCCCCTCACTGCTGCCCTTCGTTTGGCCACTTCGAGCAGGTTGAGAGGAGGCACTGGCGTGTGAGATGGGAGATAGGGGTGGAGGGTGGGGCACTCTTCTGTTTAGAGCCAGCATGTGGGCCAGACAGGGACAGTGTAGATCCTGGTCAGGCAAGTCCCGCCTTCTGCCCCATCTAAGTCAGCATTTACACTCCACACCTCTCCCAGCCCCCACCCCAGTGCCTCTGTGCATGCGCCCACATGCTCCCGTCGTGGCTCAGCCCACCCCCGCTGGCAGGCTGGCCTAAACTTGAATTGAACAGGACCCCCCCCTTGCTGGGAACACCTCCTCCCACCTCACCCCTGCAGATATCATGGAACCTGGAGTCCTCGGGAGGCACAGCTCACACTTGGGCAGAAGTGGTTTCCATTGCACTTGGAACCCTCCCTGGGCTGGTCTTGAAGATAAACACAGGACATCAGCTAGAAGTTGAACATAAGCTACACATATGGACATAAGCTAGAATGTGGAGGAAGATCACGCAGCATGTCCCCCTGTTTCTGGAGCCCCCAAATCATTTCAGTATCTTGGGGGACTTCGCTCACTCAATCGGACCTCTGCTCTCCACCATTCTTCACCTGTTTGATGGAAAGTCTTTCTACCCATGCCCTTCCTTTTCTTTCTCTCATCAGGGTCTGTCTATGTGCAGGGCCTCAGAAAAACGTGACATGTCCCTAGAGTGTTATACACAGAAGCATACACACGGGTGTGTGACATGAGCATGGATGTGGGCGTGTGCTAAGAAATTATACTGGATGAAGAAAGACAGTGGTTAATATTCGCGTTTGGTGAGAGCAAATGGGCAAATACTTTCATTAGAATCCTGTTACCTGGAAATTGCAAAAATATGTCATTTTCCCCTCAAATGGGGCACTCTGTTTAGAGCAAAGAAGTCACCGGCCACAAGCTCCTGAAGCACTTTGCCCTGACTTGTGCCTATGCCTAGTCCTGCAAATCTTGTGACAAAAGATCTCTCCCCACAACAGAAGTGCCAACAGACCCTGGTTCTCTGCCTTCCTGATTGTCCATTTCTGCTCCTGCAGTGAGCTGTAACATGTGTGTGCTTGAACACGCATGTGAGCACACAAGCACACACAAACTCCAGTTCCTCATGGCTTCTCACACATGACATGCATGAACCTTGCTGCATGTCTGTCTGGTTCTGTCCTCTCTCCCGCTCTCTGCTGCACACATGAGCCCACACACACCAGTGCACACATGCTCACATATGGATCCCTTGATGACATGGCTTCTCTTTTAAAACATATTTGGCAATGCTGCAGGTTTTATTCTGTCCTCTACCTTCTGCCATTGGTGCACAAATGCACATGCACACACACACACACAATTGTTCATATATATACTCACCAGCATCCCATTATGACATGGCTTCTCCTGTTTTTACATGTATGGAGCTCTGCTACTTGTCCAGAGTTGTCTCCTTCATTCTCAATTCATACACATGACACGTGTGTGTGATGTGCGCACACACACACATGCATAACACACAAACCACACACACACGTGCACACACAGCAGAACCCAAAGGATTCCCTATTATTGCATGCTCTGGACTGTATATGTCCAAATCCGTCCTTCTCCCCCAACCACCCAAATTCACACATACAAAGACACAGATACACATATATGCACACTCTTGCACCCAGGAGCTCACGACAGCATGGCTTTTCCTATTGTTACGTGTGTCGGCTACACTGCATGTCCGGCCTCTTCTCCTACCTCCCATGCACACAGCCTGTTGGAGCAGCTCTGATTTGTAGGAGGGGCAGTACTTGTCATATGAGCCCACTGTGCTCTCCTGCTTTGGAAGCTAGAGACTACCCTTCCCCCAGCCGAGAAGGTCCTTGAGACCTACATGTAGCTCTTCCCTAACCAGGCTCCTCAAGCAGAAACAGAAGAGAGGTGAGAGGGAGCGGCTGGTGCCTCTGGGTCCCTGTCCAGATTCAGTCCTCGTCCCCCGCTGGAAGACTGCCCTCTGCCCTTGGCAATGGGAAGCCCTACTGGCCCTATCAGGTTCTTTTTAAGGACACTTGGCTCCTAAACCTTCCATGTCTCATTCTTTCCCCAGATGCCTAAACTCACAGACCTCTGGAACATCTGTTGCAGCTGGCTGGAACCTACAGGCCATCTGGTCTACCCCTCACTGGCACCCCGCCTGCTACTATTTCTCTGCCGAATCCCCAAACCCTACAAGGTCCCAGCTGCTCTGGACAAGGGACCAGGCTCCAGGGTGACCTTGTGTCTGTTTGGGGTCTTTGGTTAATTCTCCAGGAGGCGGCTTCTATCTTCCCACCTTTGGGGCTTCTATCAGCCATGATATCCTGCCCCCCAAAACTTCATTTTCTGGGGGGTATAAATGGCAAGACCAGGAGGCTGGGAGTTCTTTAGGGCCCTTCTAGTGTTCCCATCTACCCCAAAGTTAGCCTGTGCATGGGACCTGGGCCCCTCTTGTGAGGAAGTTGACTCCACTTCCACTTTCTCTTTGAGGGCCAACCGGTACAAGGGGAGCTGCTGATGAGTGGATGGCAGACAGCCCAAGCTCCCTCAGGCCATCAGGGTCTAAAAAACAGCGTGGTAACCAGCAAAATAAGATCTCATGATGCGAAGGCCTATGGGATTTCCATGGAACCCACTGTTCCTCTGGGCCTCAAATATGGGCCGAGTCTCTGGGTGTCCTTTGTGAGAGTTTCAGGGAGTTGTCTCTCTGCCCTCCAGAAAGTAGAGAAGAGTTTGCTTCGACTGTTCCCCTACTCTCTTACAGAAGTGTGGCCATTGGACATTGATTGTAGAATTCAAAATGGCAGCCTTTCCCATACCCCAAACTCCTCTTTTTCTCTTTTCCCCTTTGGGGCTCTTTGCCTTCAACTCTGCCCAAACAGGGGCTCCCATGGTTGGTGCCAAATCCAGGAGTTCAGAAACCTGTGAGAAACCTCTGCTCAGACATGTGGATGGCCGTCCTCTGTCTTTAGCTCCCACTGTCCCACCGTCAGCCAAACAGGAACACCCCTGCTATGTCCAGGGTGTGTGTCTCTGGTCTCGTAGTCAAGCCCCAGGAGGCCTGGGCTGATGGGGAAGGAGTGGCAATAAAAGAGCTGTTGCCTATTTTCTCTGCTGACTATGGAGGAAGGTGGAGGCGCAGGTGGGCGTGGCCTGACAGAGGCGTGTGCTTCCTTTGGCCTTGGCTGTCTCGGCTGGCAGCTTTCGAAACCCACAGAAGAAACAAGAGGAGATGAAGCTCAAGCAGCTGGCCTGGGGGCCTGCCGGTTTCCCGGTAGGTGAGGGCGGAGGGCTCCTGGCCCAACAGGCAGGCAGCAGTTCCGGCCCCCAAGCCCGGTGTGAAGACAGGGATGTTCCTTCCAGCCTCCTTTGCTCTCCTCCACCCTGCCCTCCGGCCTGCGGTCCCCACCCTACCGGTGCTCAGGGGAACACGGGGGCCAGTGATGTGCTGCAGGTCATGCTGTCCTTGCCCGGAAGCCGGCGGTCGTTGAACGTGTGCATGTTGATGACGGCGTCGGTCTTGACCATCATGGGGGGCGGCGGCTTGTGCTTGACCCGACGTTGGCAGGTGAGGGCGAAGCGGATCTCGTCGGCCACGGTGCTGCAGAAGGAACGCTGCGGTGGGAGTGAGGCGGAAAGAGCAGACGGGTGAGGCCTGGCCCAGCGATTCAGCTAACTCCTGCCCTTCCTCCCGCGCCTGTGCTAAGGCCACTGGGTCTCTGTCACCCCTTCACCCCACTCACCCTCTGGCTCCCTGCAAGATGACCCGTTTGTGTAGCAGCTACAGAGCATCATGTTCTTGTTTGGAGATTAAGCCCTACCCGGTTTGGCTCAGTGGATAGAGCGTTGGCCTGCAGACTGAAGGGTCCCAGGATTGATTCCAGTCAAGGCCGTATGCCTGGGTTGGGGGCTCAATCCCTCCTGGGGGCGTGCAGGAGGCAGCCCATCAATGCTTCTCCCTCATCATTGATGTTTCTATCTTTCTCTCCCTTTCCCTTCCTCTCTGAAATCAATAAAAATGTAATTTAAAAAAGAAAGAAAGAAAAAAAAGATAGTAGGACAGGTAGTATCATCTTATCCCCATTTTACAGATGAGCACACCGAGGCTCTGACTGGCATATACATTAAGTTTGAGGAGTTGACATATCTGACTTCTTTTTTACACTAGATTCTGAGAGCAGGAACCAGTCAGCTCTGCCTCATCGACTTCCCCCCCTTTCCCGGGTCTGCCCCCCGCCCCCCCCCCCCCCCCCCCACACACACACATGAGCCCAGCCCCTGCACTAGTCCTGGCTCAAAGTCAGGATTTAAGAAAGACCTGAATGTGTGAATGTGCGAGGCTCCTGCAGGCAATTGAGTGGCAGTGGCCTCCTCCAGCCTAGGTCCCTGTGAGTACCGAAAGCAACAGCAAAAGTGCCGCATTGCCTGCATGTGTATGATGGCAGAGGCTGTCCTGCAGCTGGACTGGAAGGCAGTGGGGATCACTGATGCCCAGTGAGGCCAGGGAATCAGTACCGGACAGCTGTACAAGGCTGTTTGTGCAGGGGAATGGGACCTGGCTTTGAATTCTGGCTCTGCCTCTTACCAGCTGTGGGACCTCCCCCATGAAACACAGACATCACCCTCACCTCCCTCTCTTTATTCTGAAAGTAGTTATTTAGCCCCTACTGTGTGTCAGGCACCATTCTAGGTGTTAGGCACACAGCAGGGAAAATGACAGGTAAGGTTCCAGTCCTCGGGGAGCTTATGGTCTAATGATGGACGAGAAACAGATAACAAACCTGTAAGCAAATAATTTCAGTGATAACTGTTGTTAAGAATAAAGCAGTGGAATGGGACAGAGAGGGTTTGGGAGTAGCGACAGGTGAGAAGGCACCTTGAGAGGTGACATTTGAGCTGAAACTGAAGGAACAGAGGATGCCAAGAAGACGGCACTCTGGGGGGAGGTCATTTCAGTGCTGGGGCAGCATGTGCAAAGGCCCGTGGCTGAAGCGTGTCAGGCACATTAAGGGCTCAAAAGGAGGCCGATGTGTGTGTGCAGCAGAGAAGAGGGGTGGGGTGGGCGGGAGGAAGTCAGGGGGGTGGGCCAGGGCCAGATCCTGGAGGCTTTTTGGTGGATTTTGGAGCTCATTCCAATTATAATGAAAATTCCTAAAGAGTTGTTTTTTTTTTTTAATGCAATTTTTTCTAGCCATTCCTGATTATTGGACATTTAGTTTTCTTCCTTCCTTCCTTCCTCCTTTCCTTCCTTCCTTCCTTCCTTCCTTCCTTCCTTCCTTCCTTCCTTCCTTCCTTCCTTCCTTCCTTCCCTCTTTTTCTTCACAAAATAATTAACACTTCAATGAACATTTTTATAAACATAACCACACATATCCTTGGCCACTTCTATGGGTGCAATGCTGACGCAGGCTCACTGGTTACAGAGGATGCTATCTCATTTTGGACAGATGTGAAAGCTGCCTGTTTTTAAGGGTCCCCTGTACACACGACTTAACGACCATCTCTTCCCACACTGGCCCTGCATCGCTTTGAGCTTTGTGGAGAGCGGTGCTCCCCCCTCCCCCCCTCCCCACACACAGCAGCCTTTCCCGCTCAGGTGCTCCCTGAAACCACGCTGCACACTTTCTTAAGATGCCAATGCCAGGCGCTACCACAGACCAATTAAAGCGGAGTCTCCGAGAGCGAGGCCAGGGCATTAGCACTTAAAACACTCTCTTCCTGTGATTCTAATTTGCTCCCGGGACCCAGAGCCACGCTTGAATTAATCAGACAGGTTGAGTCTAGGTTCTCCCATTTGAACGCTTGGGCCGAACCTCTCTCTTCACCCTTTTCTCTTTTAAACTTTTGATTATGGAAATTTCCAAATACATGCAGAAGGAGAACAGGATAATGAGCCTCGGTGTCACCGTCACCCAGCTCCCATAATTATCCCGCAGGGTTTTATGCAGGGCAACGGCCTGGTCTGAATCAAGTTTTAAACGGCGCCCGCCGGCTGCTGTGGCTGGAGAGTGGGTGGCAGGGAGGAAGGGTGGAGGCGGGAAGGCCAGGCCGGAGGCGGGGCCGTGGTCTGGCCAGAGAGGACAGGGCTTGGGCTGGCGTGAATGACTGGGACCAGGGACGGGAGGTCTGCTCAGAGTCGGAGCAGAGGTGGGCCTGGCCGGCTTCCCGCTGGGTGGGATGCAGGGTGGACTATGATTAAGGTGACCAGACGTCCCGCTTTTGGCGGGACAGTCCCAATTTTTAACAATTTGTCCCGCGTCCTGCGGCGTTTTTAAAAAAGTCCCGATTTTTGGAAATAATCTTAAAAAAGTCCCAATCTTCTGGATGCCCAAGGCACTGGCCTCCTTGTTCTCCTCCTCAGGACAGTTCATAGAAGGGGCACCCAATGGCCAGAGTCTGTCTTTCTATATGGCACCTTTCTATATGGAATCTTTCCAAAAATCGGGACTTTTTTTAAAAAGCTGCAGGACGCGGGACAAATTGTTAAAAATTGGGACTGTCCCGCCAAAATCGGGACGTCTGCCCCTTAGCTATGATGGGAATGGGGTCAGACACTACCTTGGGCCTGGCGCGCAGGAGGTGTGAGCACAGCATCAGCCCCGTCCCCTGTCTCCCGTCTCCCTCCCTCCCTTCCTCCCTCCCTCCCTCCCTTCCTCCCTCCCTCCCTCCCTCTCTCCCTCACTCCCTCCCTTTCCAGTGCAGGTGTGGGGTGCAGGTGCTTGGGGCTCACCTGCTCTCGCTCTGCTGTCTTGCGGAGCTTGTACACAAACTCGCCCACGGCCACGAGCACGGACAGAACCAGCCCGGCGGCCAGCACGATGAAGATGCCCCCGATCTTCTGGATGCCCAGGGCGCTGGCCTCCTTGTTCTCCTCCTCGGGGCAGCCGCTGCCCCGCCACCACTTCTCCTTCATGATGTGCAGCTTGTCCTCCTCCTGCAGCTGCAGGATGGCGATGGTGATCTTGTCCCGGTATGGGGAGCCTTGGTGGGAAGTGGAGACGCGTGTCAGCGGCACTTGGGCCACCTCTTGCGCCCCTGGAGGGCGTCAGCCACCATCCCCAGCCCTCTTGGTCAGCTCATAGAAGGGGCACCCAATGGCCAGAGTCTGTCTTTCTATATGGCACCTGGCTGGGAGGAAGGGTCCTTACCTGGGGTGGGGGGTGTCTTGCTTATGAATCACTGTGTCTGGGCTGCCTCAATGGGGGTGAGGCCGGGAAGAGAAGGCATGACCTCTGAACTGCACCCCCTCTTGGTCCCAGCTCTCTGCTCAGGCCAGGGCTGACCTGGCAAGGGACATGGCTCTACGCCTGCATCTCTGGGCTGAGAAAATGCCACCTCGCCAGGCTCAGCGGGAGGAGCTGGGAGTGGGAGCAGGAGACTGTGTGTGGGAGCGGATGCGAGGGCCTCGCCAAGGCCCGACCCCTGACCCTGACCCCTGACCCCCACATGCAGCCCCCCGCTCACCCATGGGCGTGCCGATGCCGTAGCCCTTGGAGTCGATGAGGCCCCCGATCTGGGTGAGGTTGCAGTTCCGCTGGGTGACGTACTCGATGGTGGTGGACTCCATGAGCAGCGCGTAGTCGGCGGTCAGCGTCCTCTGGATGCCCTCCTCGTTGTTCTTCACCAGCGCCGAGGGCTTGCTGCTCATGAAGGCCCACATCTTCTCGAAGGTGGAGATCTTGGATTTCTGGGTTGTAGGGGAGGGGGATGCACATCGTTACTGAGCACACTGGGACCTTGCCCAGCAGCGCTCAGGGCGTGGAGCACTGTACACAGCCCTCAGAGTGAGGGGGTGCCACCCACTGCTCAGATGTGGACATGGAGGCCCCGGAGGGCACTCCCCAAACTCACCGCCAGGAAGTGGTAAAGCCAAGAACCAGACGCAGGAACCCCGTCTGGAAACCCTTGGCTCTTTTCCATGGCACACGTGTTTTTCACAGTGACTTTTAAAAAATTGACTTTCTTCCTCTAATATTTACTGAGTGATTCCATCTGCAGGCCCTGTCCGAAGGGCTTCACTGCATTTATTCACTGAGTATTCACAGCAATCACAGGAGGCAGGTATGTTGGCCCCATTTTACAGATGGGGAAACTGAGGCATGACTAAGTAACTTTCCTGAGGTCACTCAGATACTAAGTGGCGAAGCCAGGCTTGCAATCCAGACCCCCTGACTCCAGAGTCCATGCTCCTAACCTCTTACTGCTGCAACTCTTGCCTCCAGAAACTACTGTGAGGGCAGAGAGGGAGAGGTGGATGCCGATGGGGGCAAAGCTCGGTAGGTTTTGCCCACACCCCCCACTTCAACCACAGTGGGCCTCCCTTGTGTGCTGTGTCTCAGGGAAGATTTTGTCCAAGGGGAGAATGGCAGAATGGGGAGTGGAGTGGGAGCCCTCAGAACAGGTGTCTGCAGGCCCCCTGCCCCCTTGTCCCCAGAATGCCTTGTGCTGGATGCTGCTGCCTGGACAGAACCAGCATCCCTAGGCCCAGGCCTAGTGGGCGGGCTGCTGTGTGTGCGCTGCCTGACTGGGGAGGGTCAGAGGGCACTGGGGCCAGGAGAGGAGGCTGACACCGCATGTTCCCTGCTCCTGGGGAGACTGGGCAGACCAGGTGCATGAACTTCATGAGACTTCCTGGGAACTGAGTGCCGACCAGCTGCCTGCTCTGAGCAGGGATCAGCCCTGCCCCCACTGAACCCAGGGGAGCAGGTGGCTCTGCAGGCCTCATTGTACCCAGCGGTTTCCAAGTCTGGCTGCGCCTCTCTGTGATGTCAGCTTGTCTGACTGGCACCCGGCCCAGCTCTGGTGTGCGTGATGGCATGGGTGTACTCAGACAGGCTGGCGCGGTGCTGGGGCTGGGCAGGAGATGGGGAAGAAACTTCCAGGAGTCGGGGCAGTGGGGGTGAGGAGAGGTGGGGTGCTCCCTAGCTCCATAAGGACTGTCCCCTCTGATAGTGGCTCCTGGAGACGCAGGCTTGCCAGGAGGAGGAGAGGCCTCTGAAGTAGCAGGGGGAACCCACTTGGAGTTCCACCTGAGCTCAGATACTGTCAAGTACCAGTGATAGCTTCTGGGCACAGGGTCTGGGGACACCTTCACAGACAAGCAGCCCCTCCTCACCTGCAAGTTTATCTGTCCCCAAAGCCAAAGGCCTGGAAGGGCTCAGATGCCTGGAGCTTAAATGGTTCCACCAGAGCTACAAGCTGGCTGCTCCCAGCTCCTCCTGGGCCTCAGCCTGTTCTATTTTCAGCTCTTCTTGCTCTCAGCTACTCCACCTCCATAGTTACTCTCTTACTTTTGCAACTCTTGCCTCCAGACCTTCTGTGCTCTCCAGCTAGTCCATTTGCCCAGCTATTCCTCCACCTCAGCTTCTCCTGCAGCCCCAATGCATGCCCCCCATGAGCTCCTATTACCCTTAAATACATCCCCAATTTCCAGCTCTTCCAACTCCCCAGACATTTCTTATTTTCTAGATAATTTCTGATATCCAGACTCTTCCACCCTCCAGCTTCTTTTATCCCTCAGGTCCTTTCCACTGTGTTGCTTTTCCTGCTCAGATTCTCTGTGACAGGAAGTTTCTATATGGCTCCAGTGATCTCCATCAGGGGACTCATGTCCTTGTGTAACCCTCTTCCCCTACATGGGGGCTGGATGAACAGACTTACTTTGAAATCCCCCCCCCCCCTCATAGCTATGGGATGTTGCTCAGAAATTAGGTTGGTGAGACTGAACTATCATCTTGCTTGCACTCTGCTTGCTGCCCTGATGGAAGCTGCTGCCATGCTCTGAGTTGCAAGTCTCATGGCCAGGAATGAAGGGCAGCCTCCAGCTAATGGGCAGTGGAGAACAGCCACAGAGGAACTGAATCCTGCCAACAGCCGCGTGGCAGAGCTTGGAAGTGGAGCAGCGTTAGAAACACCTTGAATGTGGCTCATGAGACAACCAATCAAGAGGACCCAACCAAGCTGTGCTGAACCCTGACCACAGTCTGTGAGATCATAAATGTTGTTTTAAGACACTGACTTTTGGGTCATTTGTTACACAGCTATAGATAACTGACACACTCTCTTACATACATACTCACACAAGCTATTTCTGTTCCCCATAGTTGTTTTTTCAGATAATTAATTCTAACTATTCCTTTAATCAGCCCATCTAAGTCCTATCATCCCTGCTTACCAGGTACACATAGTCCTCAGATACTCTACCCACCTGGTTATGGTAACTAAGCACTATTCTCCCTTCAGTGACTCTAGCATATCATCTCCTTTCCACCCAGGTCCCTCCTGCTTTCTGAGTTTTCCTTCTTCTACCAGAGCTGGGCACCAGGGCTCCTTTATACCTCCAGTGCATGCATGAAATCCATCTACCCATCCATCCATCCATCCATCATACCCACCTTTATCATGTTCATGTTCTCATCCATTTGCTCACACACTATCTATACACTAATGTATTCAACTAACTATCCGATCACCCACCTAGCTTTTTACCTATTTACCCTTCCATTCATCCATCTAGCCAGCTATCCATCCATCATCCATCCATACATACATCCATCATACCCACCTTTATCATGTTCATGTTCTCATCCATTTGCTCACACACTATTTATACATTAATTTATTCAACCAACTCTCCGACCACCCCCTAACTTTTTACCTATTTACCCTTCCATTCATCCATCTAGTTAGCTATCTGTCCATCCACCTCTCCACCTCACCCATGTTCTCTCCTGTGCACAGAGTCAGCCACTGGTAAAATCTCAAGCCTGGCAGAAGTAACTTGACAATGAAACATCCAAGAAGTCCTGCCCTATTCCTGTGTCTCAGAATATAGCAAGAACTTCTGATTCTGCAAACTCCTCCCTGCATCCTCCCTCCAACACCCCCTTCCTCCTATACATACGCTTGTCTGTCATCAAGACACAGGCTCTTTCCAGTCACACTAACCATAAAAGGAGACAACATTTCTGTTGGGGGTTTGAGGGAGTGTGGAGGCGATAGGCTTTTTGAAAAGATACATGAAAGCCTCCGTGGATAAAGGAACAGAATGAGGAAGATGGGAAAGGACACCAGAGAGCTTGACCAGTTAAGGTGAGAAGTGACAATAAGGCGGAAGAGGCTCTTCTCTGCCAGCCCCAGAGTCAGTAAAGTTACCGCCTTGGCCACCGTTAGGCAGAGGGTTTAAATCCACTTCCCTAGCACGCCCACCCACTGTGCTTGTCCTATATCTTGGGTTCCCGTCGCAAACACCCCCACTCATGGTCCTTGTCCCCCTTACGCTCTGATCTGTCCTTCTGTGAATCTGTGATTCCAGACACATCCCTGAAAAGCTTCCCTCTGGCATGTCTGAGACATGCATGGATGCATGTAGGGTCCCTCCCAGAATCTCAGGCCTCTGTCCCATCTACCTGGGCCCAGCCACTAGAGGCCTGAGCTCCTATCACTGGACTGAGTGGTGGTCAACCCCGGGGAATGGAATCTCACACACCTATGGCTCCGGAGTCATGCTGCCCGCCCCAGCCCCGCTGGGAGCCTTAATAAGCCTTGCTTCAGGGCCAGTCACTCAAATCAATTAATGGGATTGTTTGGAGCAGCCATTCAGGGAGCTGTGCCAGGATGAAGAGACTTTTTTATCAGTAAAATTGGCAAGAAAGTAAGTTTCAGGCTCATGACTTTCAATCACAGCCGCCTCAAAAGAGTAAATTGATTTTCCCCGACCGAAGATACTTCATCTTGAGGATTTAACATTTCTGTACAAGAAAATGTACGTACGTGTACATATATAAATATATCGGTTCTGAAGGAAGCTGAATCCTGGGGATTCATGTGATTCCATGTGAGACTGGAGTTTGGAAAGGAGACCTTTCCCACAGTAATTAGCTTTCTTATCCCTGGTGTGAGTCTTTGGCTTCATCGGCTCTTCCTACTCGAGCAGTTAATCATGTCTCTTGGCTTATTTCTGTGGGAACCAGGAGGTCTCCCTAAGTCTGCTGCTTCTGCCTGCCAGTGAGGTCAGACTGCTGACTGCCCCCCACGCCCCCACCACCTGCCCCCCACCCCAGCTGCCCAGCAACAACCCCTGTTGTCTGCACGTGCCCCCCAGGCTTGCCCGTGTGGGGCTGCAGGCTGGGTCCTGAAGTGGGGGGTCAGGAGGCGAGGGGTGCAGACAGGCGTGGAGGTGGTGGAGGTGGTGGTGGGAGGGGTCAGCCCCATGGTATGAACTCTGATTTTATTTTTATTTATTTATTTATTTATTTATTTATTTATTAATTTTTTAAATATATTTTTTATTGATTTTACACAGAGAGGAATTGAGAGGGACAGAGAGTTAGAAATGTCGATGAGAGAGAAACATCGACCAGCTGCCTCTTGCCCACCCCTGACTGGGAATGTGCTCGCAACCAATGTACATGCCCTTGACCGGAATCGAACCCAGGACCTTTCAGTCCGCAGGCCAACGCTCTATCCACTGAGCCAAACCGGTTTTGGCTGAACTCTGGTTTTAAATGCCAGCTCCTTCAGTAACCACGGGCAAGTGACAGCACATCTCTGAGCCTCACTTTGCACATCTGTAAGATGGGGGTTAGCTTAGCGCAGAGCCTGGTCCACGAGGTGCTCAATCAATGCCTGGAATCATTATTTTCTTTAAGGTTCTTTAATTCTCTTTCACACCTAGAAATTGGGGAC